CAAGATATAGCAGCCCTCAGCTGCCACCCTGGACCGGCTGACGCCCTGGATCATGCCCAAAAACAACCAAGGCCCCATCCGACGATGGCCCTCTTGCCTGCCGTGCAGTGACGACGGGCCGCCAGTGCGCATGGGCACGCGTGTCTTCCTGGCCCGCTTCTGTCCCTGGATGCGTTGGGTCTACTTCCACGGCGGGTGGCGGCACTGGTGCGATATCTGCCAAGAGCCCGTCGACGACACAGTGCACATCCTAAGCGACAGGCGCTATGAGATGTCGGAAACGCGGTACCAGGACGGGTGGCCAGACCCGAACACCTTCGTCACTCCTGGAAATTTTTGGAGCAATTGTGGAGGGGAATCCTGGGATGCGTTCCGCCGGCTGTCCATCGTGCGGAAGCCCTGGCCCGGCTGGAGGCCAGTCAAACCCTCGGTGACCCGTGACGGGGTACGCTCGCTCCCTGGCATCTCGATCCCAGATGACGCGCTGCATGTTCCCATCACCTACCCCCTCTGGGACGACGCGCCAACGTACAACTGCCCTGGGGGCACCAGGTCTGACCCGGAAACGGTGCGGACACACCTGATGGACAGGCGGGGCGCCGCAAGTGAAGGCCTCAGGCAGTCCGGCGGCGGCGACGAGAACAGGAGGCGAGCAAAATCGACCATCGGGCCCCGTCCTACCGTACCTGGACAGGCTACCGGCGCCTCGGTCGTACCCCCTCCTCCGCCCCCGCCGCCCCGCCCTCCGCCCGCCTGGGGCCCGCCCAGTCAGCAGCGAAGAGTTCTGATGGCCGAAGACAGTGCGATGCCCCCCGAGGATGACGCACGCGTTCTCTCCGACGAGCCCAGCTGCCCTGGATGAGTCGTTGGCCATGCAGGCGGCCACAGAGCTCGTCAGTCTCTACTCGGCACCGCTGGACTCCCCGCATTCCAGGGTCCACCCCCAGGCGGCGCTTGGGGAGCTGAACGGTGCCGTTCGTCTCCCCTCACAATGGCCCTACTCTCTCCAGGACCGAGGACAAACGCTACGGAGAGTCGCCCGGGTGGAAAGCCAGGCCTCGGTCGAGACGGTGGACGACGGCAAAGGCTCCACCCGAGAGGACCTCGCCAGGAGAGGTAACTGTGCTCTCGGAGTTCGCGTCACCAGGATCGATGCCAACACTGAGCTGGAGGGCCTGGACACCTTTCGGCTGCGGAATGCTATGAATCTACCTGACGGTAAAGAACTTTTCTTGTTGGAGTGGCCCTCAATGTACAAGGTTGCATCCAGATCCTTGGAAGGTGACAAAGAGAGCAGGGGGCTGTATATTTCCGTCACGGGCCCCACAGTAGACAAGATCGCAGACGTCACAGTCTGGTGGCCTCCTGCTCTGGGGGGCCCCATCCACCCTAGGGGCGCCCAAGCGCTCGGTCTCAGCCCTTCCGCCAGGTACCCCATCCAACAGGTGCATTGTGGTCTACAATAGTGGGAAGGGAGGTCAGTTCCACGAAGACGAGACCAAGGCGAAACGCCCCCCATGCGATGATGCTCCCTGGTATCGCGTGGACGAAGCCCCTTCTGACATCCAGTTCTGGCGGCAGTGCTGGGCGCTCGACCATATCTACTACCTTCGCCAAAACCCAGCGGATTTGTTTGCCCACCAGCTGTCCCCGGTGACTTTCCTCTTGGCCTTCGTGCACGCCCCACGGTCCGAGCGACTTGTGGCCAACGACCTGGGGCACGCTCGTTCACTGGGGCTGAGCCTTAGGGTCAGGGCGGCTGCCACCCTGGACCAGGACGTCCCCGACGCCGACCGCACGCAGGCTGTCCAAGACGGCCTTCTACAGCAGGCGCCGCCACTCCCCCAGGGCCCGAGGGCTTTCTCTGACGAAGAGATCTCGGAGGCGACAGGCTCTGTCTTCCAGAGAGTACGTCCTACTCCCAGCATGGACACCCTCCACAGCATTTTGGACAAGCACAAGCCGAACAGCGACGCGACCAGGGCCCTGCATGCCACCTTGAGTCATCACGCCGTACTAGTGCACGGACCCCCTGGGACAGGCGAGACCACCTTCTCTGTAGCCTGCCTGGACATGTGGGGCTCCTGCCTACGCCCTGGACAGGCTGTTGCTTTGGCCGCAGGTTCCAACGCAGCGGTGTACCAACCAGCTCTGGCAATGATTGAAGCACATCGGCAGCGACGCCTCGACCCAGACACAGGTTTCCCTGAAAATTTCGTGCGCTTGGCAAAGAAGGACCGTGTCAATGAGGCACTCGTTGACCTGACGCCTGAGGGCCACTACAGGAACGCCCACGGAGAATTCCCGTTCCAGGACGGGGACAAGAGCCAGGACTTCAGGCCCTACAAGACGAGCCTACTACGGGATGCCAGGGTAATCATGTCTACACACGAGGCGGCCGAGGCCCTCGGTCAAAAAGACAGCCCACACATCGTCCTCCTGGTAATCGACGAGGCCGGGCAGGCCACAGAGCTCCATGCGCTCATGTCCATGGTAAATGTGATCAACAGCGGCGGGGCCCTGGTCCTCGTGGGTGACCCGAATCAGTTGCCCCCCCGCGGTGCTCTCCAAGCTTGCGAACGACCTAGGGCTTTGTGTCAGCATTTTCGACAGGATGTTCCATGCGCTCCGCGGCCAAGAATCGTCCGTGGTCCACCTTTCGATCTGCTATCGGATGCATCCGCAGCTGCTCGCCTTTTCCGAACGCAGCCTACGACGGAAAAGGCATGAAGTCAGGTATCCTGGATCCGCTCAGAGAAAGGCCAATCGTCGGAGGCACCCCCTGGAGAGACATTAGTGCTTGGGAACCCAGGCGACTGACAGAGCTGGCAAAACTCACCGAGTCCGACGAGGGTGACCTCCTCGCCGCCCTCGAACAGCTAGATCCGCCGCCAGGCGCAGACAAGCACCGCTTCCTGCTGGTTCACACACCCTCCTGGGAAGTCACTTCAGACCTACAACCAGGCTATGCCAACCTTCCGGAGGCAGCTCAGGCCGTGGACATCGTGCGGGCACTTCTGCCCGAGCTCGACAATGGCACCTCTGTCAGAATTGTGGTCGGATACCAGCTCCAGACGGCTATCCTCATGGATGGTTGGCCGCAGGGTCCCCGCCACCTTTCTGGCGTCCTGCGTAACACTAAAGGAGGCAGGAAGGGGAAGACTGGCAAGGGGAAAGGCGGCTCTGGGCGCGACGGACAAGACACCCCCGGCCCTGGACAACCCCCTCAAGGCCACAGGGTGGACACTCAGCGGTGGGAACACGTGTTCCGTGAGGACCATACTGTCCATACAGCTATCGGCATTAATTTCCCTGAACTACGGCAGATCGCGGGCGAGCACATGAAGAGTGGGGCGCTCAAGCTTACCACAATCGACTCCAGCCAGGGAGGAGAGGCGGACATCGTAATCGTGCTAACTACGCGGAGGAATGGGCACCACAACTGGGGTTTCGTCGACGACGCCAAACGCCTGAACGTGGCGATCACCAGGGCTAAGCGGAATATCCTGATCTTGGGAGACGGGCGTATGTTCGCCAACGCCACCTGGTCCCAGCTTCGCGTGCTCTCAGAGTACGAGCGATTGACTCGCCTTTGGGTCCGTTTTCGTGGCTGCGCCTCCGTGGGACACAGACGCCCCCTGGATATCGACGAAAGCTTTGACCCATTGCACGACCTCGCCTCATGGATACCCTCGCCCATCGCCTGGAGTTGTTACGCAAAGGGGGAGAAAGGGCACAACGAGCTTGAAGCTGCCAAGAAGAAAGCGCGTGACGCCCAGGCCACCGGTTTCGCCGAGCGCTTTAACACACCCCTGGACGAGCACTTCGATTGGGAGGCCCTGGGTAAGCTAATCTCGGGCGGGCTCCACGATGCCCTCTTGACGCCTGCCTTCCACGTGCTCATTTACTTGATGTCCGGTCTGCACTCCCGCGAATTCTCCCTGGCCACGACGCCGCGACAGCCAGGCAAGCTCGACCGCAAGGCGTGGTCGCACTTGGGCTTCTTCTTTGACATGTCTCTGGGACTAGACGCAACCAATCTAGTCTACAACATGCTGTGGGCGGCAATGGTGTGGACGCTCGGCCTGGGCACCCCCTGGGAAAACGCGAGCTACGTAGTCCCTGACGATTCCCTTCCACCGTTGCCGCACACCAGTGGCAGGCGTGTAACACTCTGGAAGCGTCGCCAGTGCACCCCCAAGGGGCTCTTCCGTCAGGTCCCCAAGGCGTGGAGCACCGCCACCGAGGACTGCTGCAGACACAGGAAGCACCCTGGAATGGCCGGGTTGGGAGAGATCCTCCGAGGCGCGCTGGGCGGCTCCATGGGGGATGAGTTCCGTGAAGGAATCATAGACACCGACGGCCTCCCCATGGAATCCTGCAAGGCCCGGTCGCTCCTGGTCGTCATAATGCTCATGCTCCGCGAGCCGCGTGTGTTTCTGTGGCCCTTCTCTCATGCAGAGCAGGCCGGGGGCGTCATCGAAGCCATCCGGGGGTTCTGTGCCCCCTGGCAAGAGGTTCACCAGGATTTCCGAAACCAAGTCGCCCGAACCTGGAGCCTCACGCTGGACGACCTGGCCGACCTACACGGACGCATCGAGGCAGTCCTGCCCCACATCTCCAAGCTCGTGGCGTTGGCGCACCACCACCCGATTGCGCAGGCAGCCGGCTGCCCGCAGACCTGGGGTGAGATGGACAGGCAGGACTTTCAGTTAAAAGCGCCAATGCTCGTCCTCGGAAAAATTCTTCCCGGCCGCAACTCTGACTTCCCTGGACACGCGCAACTGCTCAGTGTGTGCGCTACACGTTGCGCTGGCGGGGACCGACGCCTCCCTGGGTCCTGACGATCGGCTTGCGGGTCTCTCCTACATCGGCGGTGGAGTTGCCTTGTCCAACACCGACCTCAATGCCCTCCCGCCGCCGACCCCCGCCCCAGGCACCAGACAGGACCCTCCATACATCCCCGACTAGAGGCTCGCACCCGAGCAGAAAAACGGCAGATTCATGTGCGACAGGTGCGGTAAGGACCACCTACGCTCCGCCGATGGCACCTGGATCTCCGACACCACGCGCCAGATGGTCGCTCAGAATAGGCTTCATGCTTACATCAACGGCGCCAACATGGGGTGGCTCTGCGACATCTGCTGGTTACGCCACCTGGAGGAACAGGGCCTCCCAACGCCGCCAGGAGCGACAGTCGCCGACAAAGTCAAGGAGCATGAGCAACAGAGGACGGGTGCCAACAACGACAAGGCGAAAACCCTCCCCTCCCTGGGGCACCTCTCACTTGGCTTTGGATGCAGCCCCCAGGCGGACACGAGGACGTTAGCGGACCTCCTCATGACGCCGACGGGCATGAAGATCCCCGAGCGAGCCAATACCACCATTCCCATCCTACGGATCCGGAACGAGCGTTTCGGCCTCAAAGCCGCCCAGGCCCAGATCTACTCCGCGCGGTGCGACACATGCCCCCAGGGGGCCCCGCTCCTCGTCTGGGACACCGGCTCCCCGCCCCTGGGATGCTTCATATGGAAGCCGGCGGAAGGCATAGGTGTTCCCGAGCAAGCTGGACTGCCCCCCATCGACAAGCGGGCCGTGGCCTGGTGGGAGCGCAAATGGAACGCTACATGGTGCTGCCGACGCTGCCTGGTCCCAATATGGAACATAGGCCCGGCCACCCTGGATCACATCCTGGATCGAGGCTTCAGAGCTCTGTATCCAGCCAAGCCTCCAGTCCTTCCCTCGCTCAGCAGCCAGATAGGAGTCGAAGCGCCTGTGGACATTTCTGATTCTCTCCCATGGCTAGGCGTGGACGCCAAGGTCCAGGATCGATTCACCAAGGTCGGAGTAAGCAATCCCCCTGGATCCAGCGCCGCGGGCAGTACTGGTGCAACGTCAGAGCAAACCCCTAGGTCTCTCGCCCAGCTTTTGGAGCTCTTGCCAGACTTGCCAGTACCACAGGGCCCGCTCCTGAGCAACAGGAGCGTCTATAATCCCACCCTATGCGCTGAGGACCCCAGCAGACCTGGCACCGGTGGATTGTCCGCGCGGCGATCGCTGGTAACCTTCCTCCGCGACTTCCATCCTGGACTGGACTACACCTGGAGGCAGTTTTGTTTCGCCAATCGCGACAGAAGCGCCCCAGAGCCCAGGTGCGACGAGGCCTCCTTGCCCGACGAATTTCTGTCAGAGTTCCTCAGGACGGTATATGGTGACTACATCCCGGACAACTGTCTCCCACCCAACCAGCGCTGGGAAGGTAAGCGCGTGGCCGCGGCGCGAGTCGTAGCACACCTGACCAACGGCGAGAGACATAAGGAGCCCTGGAGGAATTATGCGGCGACGCTGGCCCCGGCAAGTGGTCTCGTTCCCATCCGACATGAGATGAGCACGCTGACGAGTTTCCTACTCAGCCTCAGTGCCGATGCCCTCGCCTCCGCATCCATCACCTCCTCGGCTGAGTCTCCCCCACCAGGCGTGCTGATCATGAGCGACGACAGACCAGACACTCCCACGGCTGCCGACACAGACAAGTCCCAGGGCACGAGGGACAACGACTCCCGTATGGGCCGCCAGGACCCGCCCGACCACAACGGCAACGACGAGAGCGTGGAAGACGGGATCCCCCCTACAAAGGTGGAGTCTCCCGACTTCGGAGAAGGCGAGCTCCCTCTTCCTTTTACTTGCTCGGACTCGGCCTCGGAGGACGATGATAATCGCCCAGGCGACGAGGCGCCTCAGCAAAGCCCATCGGCGGACAGCTCTGACTCCAGCCGCGAGGAGGTCCCGACCTCGGCCGGGGACGACGCGCCCAACGCCGACCACAGTAGAGGTCCAGCCCGGGGACCCGCGGTGGACGAGAGAGCCCGCGACCGAGGCGGCGCGCGGACCGAGCGCTCTCCCGCGCCCACCCCACGGCTCCCTGGACAGAGGCACTATCACCCTCGCCATACAGGCACATCGGAGCAGGTTGCACTCAACCTGTTGACCTGTCCGGAGGGGGGCGGCCCCACGTACAAAGTCTGGCTGGGCACGGTGGACCTGGAACGTCCCAACGAGACACCCGCCAGACGCATAGCCAGACATCAGTCGGAGTTGGGCGCAGTCTTCTGCGCGCTGTGGACCGCGCGCACGCAGCGAACTTGGCCCCCTGGATCCAGGGCGCCCAAATCCGACCCGAAATTGCACACGGCCACGTCCATCAATAAGTTTCTCGATGACTGGAAGGACTGCGGGTATGACGCCTACCAGATGAACGCGAGGCTGGGCTACGGCATTGACTGGGACAGGCTACGAGCCGACTACCTGCGACACTCCCGTACCGACGGCAGGGGCAAAGGCAGCTACTAACAGACCAGCTGGCGAGACCGCGCGACAAGCTCCTGGGACACCTGGGGCAGCTGGCAGGGCGAGTGGAGTGATGGATGGCGCGAAGATCGCTGGCAGACGGGCGGCAAACGCGGCGGAGGCCGCCCCGACGATCGAGACGATAGAGACGAAAAGAGGCTCCGATGGAGGGACTGAGCTCACTCCCCACTCCCAGCGCCGTGCGCCACCACGACAACCTCACTACACACTGAGTGCGGCCTTCAGCCGCTTTCTTCCTCTCCAACTGCGGGGCAGCCCGACTGCCCACCCCCTGGGCGGCACTCTTCCTACCTTTGGACCATGGTGTGCCGCTCAGTAATACTATCTGCACCACTGCGTGACAGTGCGCAGCTTGCAGACCCTAGCTGGCCCCTGGCCCCGCTGCCCTTACTCTTACCTGTGGCCGCTGAATCCTAGCCGTAGGGCTCACGTTGTCCACTCTGGCTGTGCTTCACACCCTGGAGTTCCCCCTGGCGCAGCCTTGAGCCGCGCTGCGGGCTCCGCTCACTTGCGGCGTTCCGCCGCCCTCTCCCCGACGCGCGCACCTCCTGCCTGTGGATTCAGGTGTGCGTTTCGGTAATACCGTCCACTCAGCTCACCCCAGCTAGTGGACCTGTGGCCTCCGGCCTTACTGTAGATGCTTTCACCCGCCAGGCGCGACTTGGCGCGCGTCTGTGGGCCCTGGCGGCCTCGCCTGCCCATGGACTCGTCACTCCCTGGATTTCTCAACCTCTTAACGGCCTTCAGCCGTGACCCTGGAACGAAGTGACTCTGAGGGGCGCGTTTTGGGTATACGACGGTCCCGTCCCTCGGGTGCTACCCTACCCGCCTATGGGTAGCGCTGAGTCACTTTGGTGGTGCACTTTCTGCTATCACGTGTTCCTACTGTGTGGCTCGTGCACGTTGCTGTGCTCTAACCAGTCGCTGGACTAAGGGCACAGGCGCATCTCAGTTGTGGAAGGTTCTTTCTGGCTACTCTGTTTCCACACCCTGGATGCGTGCTCTGACGTCGCGAGGGCCGCCTCCGCCGTCAGGGTTTCCCTGCTGGACTTTGTCACCAGTCAGTCTGTACTACCCGTCAGAATCCCTGGATTGACGTCTCGCTCGGGACCGTTTCCTATCCGTCCGCATCCGAACTGATGGAAACGCCTTCGCGCCATTTTGGCTGCGCTCTGCTTCCTCGGTGCCTGTGTTCAGACCCCCCTGAATGCGCCGTTGCATGTTCCTTTCAGGGGCTGCCCTGCAGACTCCCTGGATTTGCACGCCTTGGCTCAGACGCCCTGGGTCGCTGCTGCCTGCCGCCTGACCGCGGCCCCGCGCGCGCCCGCTCCCTAGTCGCGGCCGCAGCCCGACCGTGACCGCCTGCCGCTGGCGCTTCCGCCTGCGGCTTTTTTATATTATTACTTGTTCTTTATTTCTTTCTTATATGTATATATAAGTATCCCCACCAGCGCGCATCGTTCAGCAGTGGGTCGGCGTTCGCCTTTGCCAGTTCGGCCTCAGGTTCACCCTTTCCGCCGCGGATGCGTTTTATGAAGCTGCGACGGTTCGCTGGCGCTGTCAGAATCCCCCTTCTTGCTGGACGACGTCACCAGTTTCGGTCTGCTCATACCCGTCAGACTCCCTGGGCCGACTTTCTCGCACGGAGATCGGTTCCCACCACCACGCGGTTGTCTCGGCACGACCACGACGGGAACGCACTGCGCGCCATTTTGGCCGCGCCTGGCTTGCTCCTGGGTGACTGACCTTCAGGCTCCCTGGGTTGCAGCTTGCCCGACCGCCTCAGGTGACTGACCCCTCAGACTCCCTGGGCTTGCACGACCGCCTGGCCTCTCAGACGCCCTGGGTTGCCGCCCCCCCCGCCGCCTGATCCGCGGCCCCCGCGCGCGCCCGGGAATTTAGTCGGGGCCGCAGCCCGACCGTGACTGCTCGCCGCCGGCGCTTCCGCCTGCGGCTGTAAAAAAAAATATCCCCACCAGCCCGTCCAGAAACGACGCCCAGGCGATAGAGGGTCGTCCTGAGGGGCTTTTCGGCGTCTTGGGTGCCTCGGGGGGGCCTTTGTGGGCCGTTCGGGATCCTCTTTGGGGCCTTTTGGGGGCCTCTTGGGGCCTCTTGGGGCCATTTTGGGGCCTTTGGGGGCCTCCTGGGCGCTTTTTGGGGCCTCCTGGGCGTTTCTTGGGTGCCTCTGGGGGGTCTCTTGGGGCCTCTTGGGGGTCTCTTGGGGGCCTCCTGGGGGCCTCTTGGGGGGCCTCGGAGCCATCTTGGAGGAGATCGATCAACGAAGGGGGGGTCCCTAATTACAGCCCCCCCCTCAGGAGCCACGATCCTCGTGAGGGGTGTCGAATTTTAGCCCTCCCAGGGTCGATCGTGGGCGCTCCAACGCGCCGCGGAACCCCCTGTCCAGGTCAGTGGGGAGGGGGTCGGGGGAGGGGTAAACCCCTCCCCGTAGGGGAAGAAGGAGGGGTGGAAGAGGAAATGCTCTAAACCACCGACGCCCACGGCGCTGGTGTGATTTCAAACATGTGGCAAATCCGATGTGTTTTTGGACCCGGACCCCGCCGATCTGCGTGAGGGGTGCCACCGACTGTTAGAAATGTGGCAAATCCCATGTGTTTTTGGACCCTGACCCCACCGATCTGCGTGAGGGGTGCCACCGATTGTTACAAATGCGGCAAATCGCTTGTGTCTTTGGACCCTGACCCCGCCGATCTGCGTGAGGGGTGCCAGCGAATTTCAGAAAAGAGGCGAATCCCTTATGTTTTTGGACCCTGACCGCCGATTTGCGTGAGGGGTGTTAATTACCTAACAGCGAAGACTGATAGGTTTCTAATGGTCTCAAAAGAAAGCATCATGACTCCCCAGGGGGGTCCGGGCAGGATCCGGGGAGAATCCGCGGATCCGCCAGTGACTGTGGGGAACGCACCACTGAGGCTGAGGCTGAGGCCCCCAGCGCCGCCAGTGACTATGGGGAATGCACCACTGAGGCTGAGGCTGAGGCCCCCAGCGCCGCCAGTGACTATGGGGAACGCACCACTGCGGCTGAGGCTGAGGCCCCCAGCGCCGCTAGTGACTATGGGGAATCCACCACTGAGGCTGATGCTGAGGCCCCCAGCGCCGCCAGTGACTATGGGGAATCCACCGCTGAGGCTGAGGCTGAGGCTGAGGCTGAGGCAGGCTGAGGCTGAGGCAGGCTGAGGCTGAGGCTGCGACTGCGACTGCCGTTGCCACTGCAACTGCCATTGCGATTGCGACTGCGACTGCGATTGCACCAGAATTCTACAACAGGACTCCTACATTAATCTCAAGGGCAATGCTTCCAGATATGCTTCTACACATCGCTGTTAGGTTGCTTTGCCGGGATATTTTTTTCCACCCCAGCACAACACGCTCAGGGCGTGGTAAACATGTCCGTTTTGGGCCTCCCCCCCTCGCGCGGTCCATCAACAAGGAACTGGAAGCAGCAATAAGCGGAACTGTAACAGTGGAAACTGGAAACTGCAATTGGTACAGGAAACTGCGAACCTGAGGCCTACAGCCTGGTGGCCCCACAAGGGGGCCGGCGGATATATATATATATATATATATATATACATATACGTATATATATATATATAAGTAAAAGAATATGAAGATGCATCTGCTGATGGCGATGATGATTGTGAGCATTGTGGCGACAACGATGGCGATAATGGTAATGTTGATAATGATGACGATTATGGTGATGCTGGCGATACCGATGATGGTGGTGTTGATGACGATGATTATACTGACGATACTGACGATGATGTTGTTGTTGATGATGATGATGCTGGTGGTGGTGGTGGTGGCGGTGGGGATGATGTTGATGATTGCAATACTGATGATGACGATGGTGGCGATGATATTTTTGTTGATGGTGGTGATGCTGATGATGATGTCGCGGATGATAGCGATGATGATGACGATGATGATGATGATGATGACGGTGGTGTTGGTGTTGGTGATTATGAAGATGGTGATGACAGTGATGATGATGGTGGTGGTAATGATGATGATGATGATGATGATGATGATGATGATGATGATGATGATGATGGTGGTGGTGGTGTGGTGGTGGTGGTGGTGGTGTGGTGATGTGGATGATGATGATGATGTGATGATGATGATGAGATGATGATGATATGATGATGATGATGATGATATGATGATGATGATGATGATGATGATGATGATGATGATGATGAGGATGATGATGATGATGATGATGAATGATGATGATGAGGGGTGGGGACGACGACGATGACGATGACGAGAGAGGAGGAGAGGAGGAGGAGGAGAGAGGAAGGAGGAGGAGGAAGGAGAGGCGGAGAGGAGGAGAGGAGAGGAGGAGGGAGGAGAGGAGGAGGAGGAGAGGGAGGAGGAGGAGGAGAGAGGAGGAGGAGGAAGAGGAAGAGGAGGAGGAGGAGGAGGAGGAGGAGGAGGAGGAGGAGGACGAGGAGGAGGAAAACGTCGCCCTCGCGGCCTCGCCTCGCCGGCGCGAACATTTTGGAACATGGGGCAGCCTTGCTGCCCTACTTTGCCCGACTGGAGGGCCCGCAGCGCCCCTAACGGTCCACTGCCGGCGAACCGCGCCGCTCATCTTGCACCGCGCCTGCCCTCACAGCCTGGTCTCCCCGCCACGGTCCCCCCGTCACCGCTAGCAGCTCAAGATACCCTGCTAGCTCTCTGCTCAGTTTGTCTTGCTCGTGATGGGGGCGCCTTTCAGCTCGCAGGGAAGATGGCTCCAGGATCGCGCCCCGTTCCCCGCCCGAGCCCTTTCCTGTCATGCTCTGCTCCGTAGGTCATTCGTGGGGACACGAAGGTGACCGCGTTTCGCGCGTCGCGGTCTGGCCCGGGGGCGAGTCTTCCTTTTTGCGGGGGCTGCGCGCGAACGCGAAGATGATCGCGTTTCGCGCGGCGCAGCATTTGGCGTCGGATGACCTAGGCTTCCCCCCTGTCTCCAGAGATCCTTGGAGGCTCTTGGAAGTCGCAGGAGTCTTCTGGAGGGTTTGAGTGACAAAGGCCCGAAACGTCCAAAACCTTCGATCTCGCTTGCCTCCCATGGCTCTCTGTCGCAGTCTTCTTTTGTCCTTCCTGCCTGCCTGCCTGCGGCGCCCTGTGCAATGTCCCGCGGCATTTCGACTCGCGGGCCATTTGTCTTCGCAGAACGCACTAGCCACCACCGTTCTCGGCAAGGGTCATCCTGGGCCCTGGGATGATGCATACGTCTTCCTGGCCGAGGCTGGGAGGATCTGCGCATCATCCAGGAGCACGGGCACGGTGGCGTGTTGGTGCCCTTGTGCGGGCTGTCCGCTCATGCTCTTCCGACGGGCGAGGGGAGGACCGAGCTCGAAGACCTGCGCGCCGTCATCGACGGCTGCGGCAACCCCGCGGCCCATGTCAAGCTGCAGTGCCGTCCCGCGCGCTCAGCCCCATGCCATGCGGCTTGGGGACTACTGCCGAGTCCCACGCCGCCGCTCGGGCGCGAGGGGGCGTCAGCGCTTCATGGACGAGGAAGGGGCAGGTGGTGAGGGGAGGGGGGCTAGGGCGACCGAAATTTTGGTCTCTTCCCTCCTCCTCCTCCTTCTGCTGCTCTCCTCCTCCTCCTGAGGTCCTCCTCCACCTACTCCTCTTATTATCCTCTTGCACAGGGTGTCTAGAGCTCCGACCACTTTATTTCGGCACGGCACACCCCTCATCATCTACACATTCCACCAGCCAGCGCGACCCTCCATCCCCTCCCTGCATCCACCCACCCACCAGCACCGACCAACCAGTGCGCCCCTCCGCCCCGACCCCTTTATTTCGGCACGGCACACCCCTCCGCCCCGACCCCCACCAGCACCCACCAGCCAGTGCGCCCCTCCGTCCCGACCCCTTTATTTCGGCACGGCACACCCCTCCACCCCGACCCCTTTTATTCCGGCACGGCACACCCCCTCCGCCTCCCCCCACCCACCAGCCAGCGCGCCCTTCCGCCCCGACCCCTTTATTTCGGCACGGCACACCCCT